CTCATTTTCTTTCAAAAATATTAGAGTTCATTTACTCATATCCTCAAGAAACATGTATTGTGTGCTAACTATGAACCAGACAGTGTGTTAGCCTCTGGTGATTTGAAAATAAAAAGAGTAAAACCTTGTTCTGTATCTGAAGAAGCTTGTGGGATGAGACAGAGACGTAAAGAGGAAACTACAGCAGGGTGTGATGGGTGACGTGATAGGGGCCAGACCTGGATGTTACATGTTACAGAGCTCAGAGGAGGGCACAGCCTGGAGGGGAGTCGGGGATGGCCTTCTGAGAGGGGTGGGCCTAAGGATGTGTGTGGTGAATAGGGAAATAAGAGGAAGAAGCATCTCAGGAAGATGGGACAGCAGAGACCTGGCTGGGGCACTGAGTCACCTCCATTGTCATCATGAGATTTGTGCACCCCCCACCCCCAACACCACTCCCTGCCTCCTCCTCCTGGTGGTATCACTTCTGGCTGAGATGAAAATGCGGAGCCTTGGATGTAGGAGAACAAGTGATGTAGCAGAGAATCCTGAGCAATACCAACGCCATCTTGGGAAGGCACTGCTCCATTCTCATTGTCAGACTAACCCCCTCTGCGTGAGAAACCATTGACCTTCTCATAGAAACGAAAACCGTTGCATAGAAACAGGAACCATACACAGTGAACCGTTACATGGGAACAGGAACCATACGCAATGAAAATTTTTATGCCTGATTGCTTTAATTGCCCACGTTTAGCTTCTGTAACCTAGCTACCTAGCTTGCTTTGTGCACCTGGACAAACCTGTGTGCCGATGGGATGTGATTTTTGCCTTTACAAACTCTACCAGACCAAGGCTAGCTGCTGCTTTCCTAAAATACCTAGGAGAGGCAGTCTCCATCTGGCTAATAAACACTCTGTTAAAATTCTTAATTAAGTGTTTGGTTCCTTTCCTGGGCAACAAACTCACAACAGTGAGGCGTGTCCATAAACCAGAACCCAAGGACCACACTCAGCCCTGGGAGAATTGTCTTCCTGATCAGGTGATTACCATCTGAGGTCAAGAATGAGATGGTGGAAAGGAATGAGGCACAGGCAGCTCAGCTGCAACAGCAGAAATGCACCCTTGTGCCGGGTGAAAGAATCCTAGGCAGGGGCTGGAGGATGAATTGGATGACCTGTGACCTTTAACCTAAAGAGCTGAGACTATTCTAGGGCTGGATAAAAAGTGACATCTGAAGGGTGGGGTGGAAGAAGGGAGTGATTGGGATTTGGAGAAGATGTGTGGATTTGGAGTGAAGGGCTCTATGAGAGACAGGAAGCCAGGTGTGAAGAGGCTGAGTACTGGTGACTCCGGAAGTGCCCTGTCTGATGCTCATTCTGGGACAGGTCCAGGCACCACACATGGCTGCCCAGAATTTGGAAAAAGATATCAGTCGTCACAAAGGTAGAATTTTATTTTATTTTATTATTATTATTATTTTTTTAAAGATGACTGGTAAGGGGATCTTAACCCTTGACTTGGTGTTGTCAGCACCACGCTCAGCCAGTGAGCAAACCGGCCATCCCTATATGGGATCCGAACCCGGGGCCTTGGTATTATCAGCACTGCACTCTCCCGAGTGAGCCACGGGCCGGCCCAAAGGTAGAATTTTAAATCCTGGACATAATGGAAGCATTGTCTTAACTGCACTAAGAGTGATCTCATTTCATTATCTAGTTCTTGTCAATGATGTATTTTATTTTGCTTAAACATGCCTGTGATATTGTGAAATATATATCTGGTCTTCATCCCTGTCTCCTGGCATACAACCCCTAAAATCCTTGGAATCTCCAAAATGGTGGTTTTTGGTATGTTAATGAGTTGGCTGATGGCTGGCAGCCCCTAGGTAGTTTCAGGATAGGGGCTGGTAGCCAGAAAGAAGGCAGGATTGGAGGATTTGGACTTTCAGCCCCATACCCCAACCACCAGAGAGGGGAGAGGGGCTAAAGGTTAAGATGATCATCAATGCCCAATAATTTAATCAGTCATGTCTATGTAATAAAGCCTCCATAAAAACCCAAAAGGACAGGGATTGGAGGGCTTCCAGAGAGCTGAACACATGGAGGTTCCTTGAGGGGAGGGCATGGAAGCTTTGTGCCTCTTCTCCATACCTCGCCCTATGAATCTCTTCACCTGTATCCTATGTAAGGACGTGTATAATAAATGGGTAAATGTAAGTAGGTATTTCTCTGAGTTCTGAGAGCTTCTCTAGCAATTTAATCCAGCCCAAGGAGGGGGTCGTGGGAACCCCGATTTATAGCTGGTCAGTAAGAAGTACAGGTAAAAGCCTGGGGCTTGCGATTGACATCAGAAGTGGAGGGCCCTCTTGGGGACTGAGCCCTTAACTTGTGGGATCTGATGCTATCTCCAGGTAGATAGTGTCAAAATTGAATTAGAGGACACCAGCTGGTGTCCACTGCAAGAATTGCTTGCTTGCTTGCTTGGTGTGTATGGAGAAACCCTTATACATTTAGTCACAGAAGTTTTCTGTGTTGACGTTGCTGAGAGTATAGGAAAAGCACTTTTGTTTGTTTCTTCCTATATTCCCAATTCCCTTCACTGGCAACATCTTTAACATTATCTCTGTTTACTCTGCTCACACATAAACTACGATATTCTATCATCTCCCCACTGGGTCCCCTGGGAGGAGGTGAACTATGCAGATTGCAGCCTCAGTGGGAGAGGGTGCAGTGTGCTTAGGCCCAGGCTTAGAATTCACCCGAGTTCTGTTGCTCAACTTCAGCTCAGCAGGTGGAAGAAAAGTGGAGATCCGAAGCCAGGGATTGGAAGGGGATTGAATTGTTTTTCCTGGCATTTTATATAAAATGTAGTATACTTGCAAAATGTTGCAAAAATTTAGACAAACACAGTGCTATATAGTGATAAAACATATCCAAAGCCTCCAAACCTGGAATTCCACTAAGAAGTTGATAGTGTTTTTCTGTTTGTTTTTATTGTTTTTAGCAGGGCATTTAAAAAATGACTATTAGGGCCAAGCCTGTGGCACACTCGGGAGAGTGCGGTGCTGGGAGCGCAGCAGCGCTCCTGCTGTGCGGGTTCGGATCCTATATAGGGATGACTGGTGTGCTCACAGCGCTCACTGGCTGAGTGCAGTGCAGCCGGTCTCAAAAAGGACCAAAAAAAAAAAATGACCTTTAGCCTCTAAAGTATATGTGTGTGAAGATCATGCCCTGCTGGGGGTCTTATGTCGCTTAATCTCGGTAAGTTTCCCTCTTTTAAAGTTAAGAAAGCTGAGGCCTAGTGAATTTTGGTTCTTTGCTCAGCCAAGACCATGTAGCCAGTATTTTAATCTGGGTCTGACTCAAGAGCTCTTAACCATTATGCTGAACTGCCTCATTCAGGAATAGATGCTCGATGCATCCTGGTGAATATTTTAATGCTGACTACACTCCCCACAAGTGGCACGGGTTCGGAAAGAAATTTATGTTTCTTACACTGAGAAATAAAACTGCTAGTGAGTGAAAACATGTTGGCCCAGTACCTAACCCCTCCCAGGGTAATGTTAGAGTTCCTCACTGTTGGAGTGTGGAGTCAGCCCAGAGGAAGTGGATTGATCCTAAAACACAATGACTTCAAGATAAGGTGGCTCAGTGAACCTCCATGCTCTACTGCCAGGAAGTGCTCAAGTCCGGAGGCCCCATACTCCTGATTGTCTTTTCCAAGACTCCAAAGGAGGACTGCACTCTTGTCACCTCCACAAGTTTACACATGATTTTTTTTCACAGTCTACATTGTAGCAGCTTCTTTTTTTTTTATTGGTTATGAATATTCATGAGATACAAAGCTGATTATCACCCCTTGTGCTCATGATGTGAGGGCCAGATTCATACTGTCAGCATACCCATTACCACAAATTGCATTTGTACCCCATGTCCCCCACCCAATTATCCCCCACCTTCCTCTCCCTCTCCCATTCCCCCCCACTCCACTTTGTAGCCCAAGGAATGTTCTCTCCCTCTGCAGCAGCTCTTTCTACTGCAAAAAAGGGAGACCCCCTCAAGTTAGTTCAAATAATAGAAAAGTTTATTATGAACAGACACGGAAATAGGAAAATGAGATTTTCCACCATTAGCCAGGCCTTATGGGGAGCTATAGGGGGCTGGGGTGAGAGTGGTGGTGGATAACACCAGTTCCCATAAGAAGAACTAGAGATTCAAACAATGCTGATAATAATAACAAACATACATAGAGTTTATTTTGGCCAGACACCATAATAACTATTTTATATATTAACTCACTTAATCCTCTCAATAACCCTATGAGGTAGGTACTATTATTAACACCCCCTTTATACATAAAAGAACTGAGACATGTGAAGGTCGAGAACAGGTCCCAAATCAGCTGATAGTAAGTAGCAGAGCAAGCATGTGAATTCAGGCAGTTTGGCTCCCAAGTCTGTGCTCGTGACCATTGTGTGGTAGTAGGTTCTGTGCCCAAGAACTGGTAGGAAGGGAACTTGAGGTTCAAGGAAGCATAGAGATTGGGTTATTCTGTGCCCACTCAGCAACACAGGTCATGGACACTTGCTCCAGTACATGGCCATGTGTGTGGCTCTGATTCTTTCTGCTGCCAACTGATGACACATTCATCATTGATCCCTTTAGAATTTCCGAGAGAAC